CCGAGTGCGTTGGCGGCAGCATCTGCGTCACGCAGGACGAGTGGTACTCGCAGTGCGTGCCCAAGCGCCTGCGCTAAGCACACGATTCGCACCCTATCGATGTAAATGTAGAAATAAATTGTGTATACCATCATCATGATGTAGTCATACTGTCTTCGCCATGCTTGGCAACGGCGACGATGACACTGACGGCTCGCCATCGACCGTCTCAACTGCTGGCCAGCCTCTATTAAGGCAGCGATGGCGGTTCTCTGAAGCCTCTTCCAGATCACGCGATGAGCGTGCTTGTGATCACGGTCCCGTCCTGCATTCAACGCAAGCGACGTGTTCTACCTCGATGTGATACAGCGCATTAGGAGCATGAGGTCTCGGAGCATCTCGCCACGCAATGCCTGGACATGCTTGCGTCGTCGCCGTGGACATATCCTACCATCTCGACGACCAGGCTTGGCAACTTCAATCACTCGCCGGTAATAACATTTCATTGGCTGCTCTTTCCCAAAATTTTAGCCAATCACGGGCGATGAAACTCCGTCGACGACACAGCTCCCAAGACTCGGCCGCCCAGAGCGGCCAAATCGCGTCTGATAATGAACGCTTTCATACTTGGTACATCGATAGAGAATGCTTTGGAGAGCTCGAAACGCTATGTCTCGTCGGCATTGGCGGTCTGCAGCGGCGTACAGCGACCAACATGTTATTTATGGCAAACACCATAGAGAACCACAAATAACAGAATTACCAACATGACCATGGCGAGCACGGCAGGCACCATTTCGCATGGTGACGCATATTGCATTGGATAACCGCGTTGTGCTCTTGGTTTTTAATACTCGTGGTATAGTCGAACGTAAAAAACGCATCGCTGCTCGATTTGTTTAGATGAAAACTGGGCTTCGAGAAAATGTGCGACCGTACGACGTTCGGGCACTCAAGTCGTTGTCGTAGGGCCGAGAGGATGCGGCAGACAATACAGTAGGTGGTTAGACCCCTTGCGTGCCGATCTGGAAGCTAAGGATACCAAAGGCCACGACGCCAAAGAGCAGCACCAAATAGATATAGGGGTCGCCGCTGAAACGACCCGAGTACATGTTGTTGCGTGGGTCCTCGCGGCGCGCCACGAATTGCAACAGCGCTGGTGCAAGGAAGGCCACGTAGACGCCAAAGACGCCCGAGATCTGCAGCGTCACGCTCAGATCTGAGACGAGCACGGCAATGACGAGGGGCGGGAGCGCCGCGACGAGGCGACAAAAGATGCGCACCTGGCTCCGGCTTAAGAACGTGCTGCACTGCCGCAGCGAGACCGCGAGGTTGTCGCCGAGCGTGATCGCAATCAACGGAAACACGCTGAGCGTATCAAGCGCCGGAAACAAAACGACGAGCGCCGTGAGGCAGCGCGCCCAGACCGGCACCGGGTCCAGACCCCACGTAAAGTTGGCCCAATTGAGGTTGACGCTCGAGCTAATGCGGTCGCCAAAGTAGTAGCAGCACGTGAGCCCAAGACCGAGGTAAAAGAGCGTCGTCGTCACGAGCGCGCTGCCAAAGATCTGCGCGGCTTTTGGCTGGTTGGCACGCGAGAGCGGCGCAAGAAGTCCGGGCACCGAGTGTTGAAACAACTACCATCCAAGAAAGATACCATGAGATACCATCCTTGAGTCGTTCGCAGTCGTACCTGGGAAAAGACGGTCGTGCTAAACAGCAGCCCGAACCACGAAAGTTCACAAGTGGCACGTCGCTGAGATACGGCGTCGTCGTCGCCGTGGCGCTGCCTACAAAGCATTGTTATGACGTGGCGCGACGCGGTGCAAGGCGGACCGCTGTCGGCGGCGTCTGTCCACATGGCCACGGCGGCGCTGACAATCATGGTGAGCAGTGCAACGAAGCGCAGCACGGCCATGCCCACTTGGACGTGAATCTGCTCGTTGAGATCTACACATCGTTGCTACGTCTGCCAATACGTCATGAAGGAGTCGTACCGACGCACGAGAGTGGGACGACAATGAGGCCAAACACAATCGCGACCGCCACGTTGCTGATGGCCAAGGACGCGAGCTGCGACGCGATGCTGTTGACAAATACTTGTGCGTAGCCGATGAGGCCGCCGTACATCAAGCCGAGGAGCGAGATTTGGTAGATGCGTGCGCCACAATGGCCCAGAAAGCGCTCGCAGAGCGTCGTGACTTCGGGAAAGTGCATCGGGTCAACGAGCAGCTTGGTGTGCGTGTTCATCGCGTCGAGCTCGCGCCCTCGAACTGTAGTCTCGCTCACCCACATAACGGTGATGTACGAAAGCCACGAGACGACGACGAGCATGATCGAGCCGAAGAGGAGACCCGCGTGGTACAAGGCGTACGGTACGCCGAGGCTGCCGACGCCGAGGATGTAGTTGACCGTGAACGAGTACGCGACGAGCGGCGAGTACGCGCTGTCGACGTCGTACTCGAGCACTTGGAAGCTCATGGACCGCGACAGCGAGAACGAGATGAGCTGGTGCGCGGCGCGCGACGAGCGCGTCTCGGCCACGTCGTGGGCGTTATCGTCCATCGAGGCCCAGCTGCGCGTCGTCGTCGCAGCCATCGGTAAGAGTGCGAGGCTGGAGCGCTGCGACTGGACGAGGCTGTCGCCCGTGTCGTGGTAGAGTGTGCCCCAATCCATGCCCGACGACCACGGCGAGTCTGCAACGGCAAAGTCGCAGCCGTGCGGAAATTTTAATTGTATGTTTTATGCAAGCTGGTGATTTGTATGCAAATGTGCGAAATACAAAAAGACAGGCGGCAGCCCGACCAACGCCCACGGATTGGTCCGCGACGGTTCGAAAATTCGACGACACTCTGTGCTCAGAATCAGATTTGAAAGCGACCAATCCGAGCGCACGCGTGCGAAGATCGCCCTTCTAGATCGCGAGTCGTGCCCCGGTCGCTCCAGTGGCGCACTGGACTTGACGCCATGGACCTTCGATGGTCGTCAAGCGTCGGCACGGAAGCGACAGCCAAGTTCGCCAATGAGCTACGAGCCTCCGACCACGTCGCCGCGCCGGTCGACGCCAGCGGCTGGACACCACGCGACACGTCATCCACTTCACGCCGCAGCTCTTGCCCGTGCATGCGATGTCATATTTTAACAGTATTCCCGTGTGTGGTGCCAGTGTGGTGTGGCTGGTCCACGAAGTAGCTCGGCGCGGCCAGAACCAGTCAATTTCGGATCCGCATCGTGGCAGGTGCTACTCTGGATCGCATTTCGCACGCCCGAGGGTGTCGCGACAGGCAGCAGCAGCGTTGCGCAACGACAGGCGGCGCGTGGTTGCAACGCCGCCGAGCGCCCTCTGCGGAGCATGCCCCGGGACATGCGAGATGTTGCGCGGCATGGCGCCGTGGGATTGGTTAAAATGAAAACAAATCAACACGTTGCGCCCGCTGATTGGAAGACCACGGAGTTGCGGGGTATGCGATCTGCCCAGCGTGATGGGCTTCGTGTCGAATCGAAGGCCTCTCGTCGAGCTCCTTGATCTTCCGCGCGCTCTTTAACTTCGTTCCACTATTCCCACACCGTCAAACCGTGGTGGCGCTCGGGTTGCGTCGCCCCACTATAATAGATAAGCCGCGGGAACTCGAGGGCTCTGGCAACATCAACGGAATGGTTTTGGCGCGCCTGCCTTTGATGCTACTAGTACGCGGCAGGACGAATGCTAACCCGGCGAGGTCCTTCAAGCTTGTCCGTGGCGCACAAGGGAGTGAATAAGCTTATTTATTCCCTTGGTGGCGCAGGACATCTCTATCCACAACTGCACCTATGGAAATATGTCTTTGCTTTCTGTTTGCGCATCGCTACGCCGGGCGCTCAAAACTCGAACCAGGTCAGGCTCCTTCCTGTGCGGGTTGCGGTATTGTACCGGTAGAATGCCAGGACGCTCCAGGCTTTAGACGTTCATGGATGCATGTATTTACTCGCATGCTACGACGAGGGATCGCGAGCGTGCTGTGTGGGGCAGTCGGCGCAGCCATTGGAAATGAGGAGAAAGGCACGTTGAACAACGGAAGGTTTGGTGTTTCATTTGACGGAATCGCCAACGGGCAAAAACCGGTGTCTGAAAATACAAGCCAAGCGTTTTACGTTGTAGCAGGAACAACGAGCGCGACATGGGCGGCGGTACGTCCAAGGAAGCGCCCAAGCAAGCTGCAGCGGCGTCGACGATCGAGCCCAAGGCCGGCGGCAACGAGCTGCCCAAGCCGCCCAAGCCTATCAAGGACCTCAAGCTGTACATCTCCATGTTCAAAGACGATGCACTTGAGCTCTCGCATGCGTCGGGTTCGGACTTTACGGGCATGCTCACCACGCACAAACTCGCAGTGCTCAAGCAGGTGCCACCGGAAATCTTTGTGCTGTGCCACCTCAAGGAGCTCAACGTGAGCGCCAACGATATTCACGTCCTCGACCCGGCGATCGCCAACCTCGAGGCCCTCACCAAGCTCGACCTTTCACAAAACCACCTCTCGGAGCTACCGGATGCGCTCTGCCAGCTCGCGAATTTATCATCGCTCATCGTGTCAGAGAACGACCTCGTTGCGCTCCCCAAGACCATTGGTAACTTGAAGGCACTGACACAAATCATCGCCTTTAAGAACGGCATTACAACGCTACCCGACTCGATCGATGGCTGCATCGCGCTCGAGGAAATCAACTTCTACAACAACAAGCTCACTGAGCTCGGGCCTGGCTTTTTCAAGCTCGCCAACCTCGTCGAGCTCAACATCGCTGTACGCCTGGGATTTATCTTTGCCGCAACGAACAAGTCGTCGTCGTCTGTAGGGCAATGCACTGACGCAACTCGAAGCGATACCAAACCTCGTGCGACTCAAACGCTGCGCCGCCTACTTCAACCGCCTTCGAACCTTCCCGGACCTCAACCACTGCAAGGAGTTGACTCAAGTACGAATCCAAATACGACACTATATTCGTACAGGAACACACGTCGCGGTTTAGGTGCAGCTGTACCGCAACCAATTGAAGGAGCTTCCGGACCTCTCGAACCTCCCGAGCTTGACCGAAGTCGATGTCAACACGAACTTGCTGCGCCAGATCCCAGAGTCGCTCTGCATGGGCAACACGAGCATGCGCATGCTCAACTTGCGAAAAATCGACTTGTGGAGCTTCCCGCCTGCATCGGGCAACTCACGGCCCTCGAGATCCTCAACTTGGGCGGGAACGCCATCAGCTCGCCCGTACCCGACTCGATCGCGCAACTGCCAGCGCTCGTGTCGTTCCTCTTCGACGACTCGAATCTGACGGTACTACCGTTGGCGCTGCTGGGGCTCCACTCGCTCGTCCGCGTTGACGTTGGCCGGCGGATTGATAAGAGCGACGCGACGACGACCAAGGTCATGGCGCAGCTCGAGGCCATTTGCGTCGCCAACCGCGGGTGGCTCAAACAAACCTAAGCGTCCGCGGGTTATAGCACTAGGCATGTACTATCATCATCGTTCGAGCAACACAGATCGACATTCTGTACATATGGTCCCGATGCTCCGCGACGTCACTTTTGCATTGGCAGAGCCTCCATCGCGATCGGTGTTTCGGCAACTTTGGTGGTTGCCATAACGAGGAGTAGGGGACGAATCGGGATGTCCAGCGCCGGTCTTGCGTCCGAGGCACTTGCCTTGTGTGCTAGTTGAAAGTCCGAGAGCTTCTGAACGTTTTTTCGATGCGACGAGTACTCCATGTCCCTTGGAAAGATGCCTCATCGCCACCATGTCGTGAACTCGACTATGGCGGGGCTCAATATGACGCGGCCAGGACCTAGCGTCGAATCCACATGCAGGCTACCGTGTGCCACTACATATGTATTGTAGCAAGCCGCAAAGCTAGTAGGCGAAGGAAGTGGGCCGTTTCCAAGAAGTGGAAGTGGTTTTCCGCGCAAGGCCGAGCGAAGTAGAAGACCGAATCCAAGATCACACACGTTACAAGATCCAAGATCGAAGTGCAGAGCACACGAGCTCAAGCCATTCCAAAATTGGTAGCGTCAGTCAAAATAGCCAACCCGCTTCGGCCACCACTGGCATGGCAAACACCAACACAGTTGTTGCCCCCAAGTAGTTCGGTCTTGATTGAGGAAAAGCGGTAGCCTCCGAACCTCCACAAAATGATCAACTAATATAAACCGACATGGTGCACGTAGCCGATACAGAAAACCAAGCGCATGAAGGAGACCAACGCACAGGCGAGCACGCACCAGAGACGACGTTCGTTTATCCCCATGAGCTCGAGTTTCTGCTCCCAACAACAGACAGTCAGTCAGTACATGCTGTCGACATGCAAAGCGGTGGTACATACATGATCGCCGACACTAGCCCGTCCTCGTTTTTAGCTCGCCGGTCAATGGCGTATCGTAGAGCCAATGAACGCGATAGCGCACGACGCAGAGCAGCAGGACGAGTATCGCGCCGTGACCCGCATACATGATAAAGAGCGGCACCGTGTCGCGGTCGAGGTATGTCGACAGCATCGCACACACCGCGCTCCAGAGACTCACCGTGTACACGACGAGCTTGGCTGCGCGAACGTGCCTATTTGTGAATTGAGTCATTCGTGTCCGCTCATCCAAGCAGCACCAGGTCGAGCACGCGCGGCGAAAACGGTAATGAGACACGAGCAAGACGATGTCACCAAGGATCGAAACACCGAGGTAAAACCGCTATGATGCGATGACGACGACGCGTCAACGCTCGAGCCGTACCACGTTGGTCGCAAAAAAGGTCTTGGCGCCGATCATGAGGCCCTTGACGAGCTGACCGATCATTGCGAACAACGGCGACGTTTGAATGTCCAAGTCGAGCTGCGGAAACGCCAGTTGGTGGCTGCCGTGCGAGAGGACCGCAAGCGGGATGAAGAGACCCATGCCACACATCCCGACCATTGCATACTGCCACTAGTCAAACACTTAAGTAAGTACCCATCATGGACAAGATAGATAGATAGATAGATAGATAGATAGATAGAGATTGATAGGTCGTACGTGGGTCGGTGTCCAGCATAAGATGGCGGGGTTGGACCAGAGCACGTACGTCGTGGTGTCGGCGGTCGACAGTTTGTAGCAGGCCATGGCGTAAATATACTGCTCGACGAGAAACTAGAGAAATAATATCAAGTTGGCGATGTTGCAAGCGTGTAGCAACATACCATGAAGAGGACGCTGCTGAGTGCACTCGGGAGCAAGAACGTGACGATATAGTTGAGCCAGTTCATGCCCTTGAACTTGTTGGCGGCTTTGAGGCTAAAAAACCACAGCACGAGGCAGGCCACGGCAAAGCGCTGCTTGATCTAAAATGACAATATTGACCATCCATTCGAATATCATTCCCGTACAAGGAAAACGTTAAACTCAAACTGTGCGACAAAGTAGCCGCTCAGATTGATGTCAATGGTCACAAGCGCCGCAATTTGATGGACCACGTACGACGCGTCCCTACGAAAAGGACACTGTGCGCGCCAGAGCATTCGATTGTGGTGCGTACCAGACTTGCCACGGGATCGTATTCAGCTGGACAAGCTCCCAGACAATGTTGACGATCGCGAGGTAGTTTTTGAGGCACGCGGGAAAGTCCGTGAGGTTGATCGCGTCGACGCGCCGGGTGTCATTGAAGCCTTGGATGGTCGTCGTCACCGACACAATCGACAAGAGCGTGAGAAGAACCCAGCCAACGCCGAGCCAACACGCCAAGAGAGACAGCAAAGACGCGTCGCCGACCAGCGGCGTCAACACGTAGTAAAAGATAAGTGGTAGCCCGAGAGCCATCGCGGTGTACGTCAAGCTCGACCAGAAATCCCCGAGGCCGATTTTACCATTCTCCGTCGGCCTACACACACTTGAGAAGCAAGATGCGCGATGTTTCAAACCAGATGAAAAGGAGGCCCAAGAAAAGGCCTTGGAGCTCCGAGACGACGAGAAAGTAGCGCAACTCCTTCTCGGAGTGGAGCACCGCCAAGTCGG